TACAGATTGGATTGTTTTAATTATCAAATAATCTTTATCTCAGCTGACGAGTTCTTGACTTTTACTCTCCCAATTCACTCCCCCATCCCACCAGGGAGTGAGGGGAGTGAGAGAGCACCTTTGTGGTGTTTAGCTTCTTGCTGGGTTATACCTTACTGCTACTGAGGTATTTTTTTGCTGATGTAAATTAACTTGATTCATTGAAATGCAGACTGTTTTTGTTAGGGAGAATGCATCATTAGCAACAAGTACTGACTCAAGATTGTATACAAAACACGACACTTATCCACAGAGTCTGTCATTAGCTGGAACATCTTTCACATTGACAGAAGATGCAGCATTTTAGCTGGTTATTTGTAATGGACTATGAAGGCATCTTGCACCAGAATAGGAAGAGTATACTTAGTGACTAACATTTAAATTAATAAGGATAGAAATGGAATAGCAATATGACATAGGAAGAGCAACATACATTACAGTTAAGGCAGGTCTTTAAACTTCAGCAAGAGTTTTACTTCATAATTCAAAAATTCCATTTTCAGAGTAAGTAGATGGTCTTTGGGAGGTGGTAAGGCTTTTGGTGTAAAATTGGGCAAAAATACGTATTTTCTTACATGATTGAAATTTGTGTGTTGAATCATTAATGCTTATGAACCTGGAATAAAATGTAGTTTTGGGCAGAAATTGCAGGAAGGTTTATCAACCTGAAATTAAGGATCCCAACTGAGCTACAGTGTGGCTTGCTAACATGGTAGATTATGTGGAAAGGATTTTTCAGCCATATCTAAGTATTTTGTTGAACTAACATGCTTGGAAAAGCCGCCTTTTTTCCAGCAATACAAAACTGAAGGAAATAAGTGAAATAACAAGTTATAACAGCAGTGTATTCCCTGAAAAGAAGAAGCTGTAATGTCAATGCTTTTCCCTTTCCAGAAGGAATGTTACTGTAGTAACACATTCCATAGAAAGTTTAATGCAATTTAATGATTAAGGTATTTATTCTACTTTTATTGTGGCATAGATCTTTTTCCGTACTGTTCAGTTTATGAACTTCTGGCATCCATCTGTTGTGGTTCCAGATCATAGTTGTTGTCAGATTGTTTGGCCAAATTGTCAGACACTTTCTAAGTTAATGACATTTATCACTGCTACTCCTGGCAAGTGAGGGTTTGTTGACCATGACTCTTCTGACATTACAAAGGCAATTATTTGCAGCAGTATGGGAGCTCTGTGATAAGAGCTCTTAGTCATCACAGGGCTACAATTGCATCTTTGCAGTAGTTCTGTTGTAAATAGTTGAAATAAAAGTTTGAAAGGGAATGAATGGTTCCCTCAGAGAGGAAGGACTAATTTCTGGTTCTGGGAAAAACAGACAGGTTTATAGGTGAGCACTTCAGACCAGTTTTCCTTTACTTTATGCAGGAACAGTGTTCTAGTGGGGAAAACAAACAAGGAAGTAGCAATAGTGGCACAAATGGTCATGTCAAAAGGGTGCATAAGCATCGAATTCTTCAGAAATGCCTCTTAGGCAGTCACTAAGCAGATTCTCTGAAAGCTGATCTGAAGATCATAAGCCTTTGTGTAAGGAAGAGAAGTAATAAAGTATCCTGCACTTTTGGTGAATAAAATGAATGAACTGGGTTCAGCAAAAAAAAAGACTCAGTCATTTGGCACAGAGAGAACTGACAAAGTGTCCTTCGCACAAATTTATATTTTTTTCCTATTTCTCAAAAATAATCCACATTTTATCTGACAACTAATTTAGGACTAATGATGAATTCCTCTTCCTGTTATAATTTACTATCCATATGGGAAAAGTAAGAAATTAAAGGTTCCAAGAAGGGGAAAGTCTTTCCTGAAAATACCATAGGGGTTTTTTTTATATGTAGTAAGTTGGTTTTTGTTTTTTTTTTTTAATGCCTGTGCTGATGCTGCTGCCCAAAGACAAATTTTTCATCACTAGAGTCTTCCCAGTTACAGGACTTTTGTTTTGGCATTTGGTATGAATCCTACTTTTTTGTTAATTTTTCATAGACTTCTGCCATTAAGAACTTTCCTTTTTGTCTTTAAACCTTCCTTTGATTACTGTCACTGGCTATCCTGACGTGCAGATACAAAGCAGACCCCACAATCCGTAAGATTGTAAAGTAGGTATGTTTATTCACCGGTGGGCAGCAAGGTAGATCTTTCTTAAAACCTTGTGCACCGAGTGCCGCTGCTCGCCGAGGTTATATGCGGTAAAATGTTACATATACATAAGATTTCCCAATACGCCTATACATATGCATGACCTATCCCCGCTTCGTATTAAGATTAGTTCCAGGAAGTCATTTCCATAAACTCCTCCTAACTGCGCTTGCGCAGTACCTTCTGGTGGTCATGCTGGAGAACCTTTTTCCGTGACCGCTAGTAACCCTTGCTTGTGTGCAGACTCAGTTGTTCTCTGGTTCTTGCTCAATCCGCGGGGTTGGGTTTAGCTGGTTCTTGAGACCACTCTCTGGTTCTTATCAGCAACTCAAGACTTCAATTAGCAGCGCATTTAGTAAGTGATAAGTAATACAATGCTTTCCAAGATTTCTTTAATCCCTTTTTCAATCCTGTTTCCAGTCTCACTTGCAATGTTAAGTTCCACCAGTCTTCTGACTGTCCCTCCTAAAGCCATAGCCCACATTTGCAACCCTTTCTTTGACACATCTCCCATAATACTGCTTTTCAGTACCTCTGAGACTTAAAACCAGACATAAGGGAGAAAATGTATCACTCCTCTAGGTTTGTGAGAGATAATAATACCTGCACGTCTGCCAAATTGTGTGTCTGGTTGCAAGGATGTAAAACGAGACAAGGTCACAGTAGCTGATGGAATGGTCCCAAGATTTATCAGTATGAATGAGAAACTAATTTAGTGCAGATTAAAGAGGACAAATTATTTCCTCTCTCTCACTCATCTGCTCCTTTTTGCTTGATGATATACAAAATATTAAAAGTGAACAACTAAGCTAAGTGATGTGTTTTCCAGGGTGATCATACCTTGTAACTTGATAATCATCATAATCCAGATTCACTGAGGGAAAGATTTATTTTGGCTACTCTAAGAGGATGCTGGTGATGGATTTCTAATTTGTGAAGCCATAGCTATTTCTCTGAAGGTTTTAAGATGCAAATAACTAGCTATTTCCACTTTCTTACCTCACTACACTGATTCTCTAAGGGCAGTTCATTATCTAAATGCTGATTCTTTGAGAGCTGTTCAGTTTCTGAATATGTCAGTGGGTAGATCAAGACAAAAACATGCAAAATCAATCAGTTTATCTAGCTGTCCTGCTCAGATACTGTATGAAACAAAAGGGGAAAAATTAATCAAAGAACTGAAAAAAACACTCCTGTCTGTGCCGTGTAATCAAGTTAGGAACTGATATGCATGTTTTTAAACCTTTCATGGATTGGAACAAAACACATTGTTTGGGAGACCAGGCCATTATGTAGACAGAATTGTGTGCCTTTTAAAGTATGAAGATGTTTAACTTTCTGACACCTTTTCCCCTGCAACATCTTACTGATTTTGGTCATCTGCATTTGCAAGAAGCTGACAAGGTGCAGTAGTATTCTGGACATAACCAGTGATTTTTTGTCAGTTTTTGCCTACAATTTGAAGAGCATTTTCTGGACCCTGGAGATAAGAGTAAATGAGATTAGACTGAAGCTGAAACTTGCTACAAATGCACTAGAAAATCCGATCAGGATTCAACTTGTTCTTCTGTTGGTTGAACTATGAAAAATTAGGAAGTAAATCCTACTAGTGATTCAGAGAATAAGTGTGTCACTAGTCTTTAACATAAAGGCTAGGAATGTGTAAACATGTAAGCTTTTCTCACATCCAGAATAGATCTGGGACATACTGTTAATGCAGAGTTAAAAAACACTGCTTGTGGGTCTTTGTTCTCCAGAGCAAATGATGCATGGGCAATACCAGAATCACCAGAAAAGAAGGTGGAAGGAATTTCACTGTATTAAGAGGTTGTTCCAAAGCTGGAAAGAAAGAACAGAATATAAACTCATAAATTAATATCTAGATGAATAATTAATATAAGAAATCCTACGAAATATGATTTCTACTGTTCCCTCTGAAAAGAATCAGTAGTTTGGGGATTGTGGAGTGAGTAAACATTTTTTTTAAGAGGCAAAGAAAGTACTTAGTTATCTACAGATTATATCTGTGTATATATATACACAGAGTATATATGAATACTGTGTGTAGTTTTGGGCTCCTCACTACAAAAAAGGACATTGAGATGCTGGAGCATGTCCAGAGAAGGGAACAAAGCTGTAGAAGAGTTTAGAGCACAAGTCTTATGAGGAGCAGCTGAGGGAGCTGGGGTTGTTTAGCCTGAAGAAAGGGAACTGATGGGAGACCTTATTGCCCTCTACAACCACCTGAGAGGAGGTTGTAGCGAGGTGGGGGTTGGTCTCTTCTCCCTTGTAGCTAGTGACAAGACAAGGGGAAATGGCCTCAAGTTGTACCAGAGGAAGTTTAGTTTGGATATTAGGAAAAATTTCTTTACTGGTTGTCAGGCACTGGAACAGGCTGCTCAAGGAAGTGGTTGAGTCACCATCCCTGAAGGTGTTTAGAAGACAAGTAGATGTGGTGCTTAGGGACATGATCTGGTGGTAGATTTAGTAGGGCTGGATCAATGGTTGGGCTTTTCCAACCGATTGTCTTTTCCAACCAAAACCATTCTATGAGTTTATGATTCTGTAAGTAATATAAGAAAAAGGGTGTCAAGTTATTATTAGGACTGTATTATAAAGCAGCTGCATGAAAAGAAAACTAAAGTTCATAACAGTATACAGCATAAACAAATGTAGCTGGTATTTGAGCTGTAGCAGGTCACTTCAAATACAGTCCTTCCATGTGATCAAATAAAGGTATACAAACTGTTGGACAAATCCAGTAGTCCCTTTCCATATAGCATCTTCAGTATTTTTCCTTTTCCTTCCAAAAGCATCATCATGCGATCAAGAACTTCAGTCAGCCCTGGAGGAAGCTAAACAGCCCCAGAAAGACAATGTGTTCATTCCAGAGTGTGCTCAGGGTGGCCTCTACAAACCAGTGCAGTGCCACCCTTCCACGGGCTACTGCTGGTGTGTTCTGGTGGATACGGGACGTCCCATACCTGGTACATCAACAAGGTAAGGGAATATGTGTTCAGTGTTCAAAAATTTTAATGAGAAGACGCTTTAGTGTGGATGTACTAGCATTACTGGTGGAATTATATCATGCAGGTTTCTTCCACTATGAAGGTGAAGTGAAATATTTCTAAGAGCCATCAAAAGTTAAGGCCAGATGGCCAAAGACTGTTTCACTGCAATGTCACAGGTAGTTTGCTCCCCAGTCCTCTTTTTTACTCTCTGTTTTTTGCTGAGAAGCCAAGACTTGGAGCAGATAATGAATAAATCCTGAACATAGAAGAACCAAGTAAGATGGTCTGTGACAGTAACCACGTCCAACCTCAGAAATTTACAGTTATTTTTCCAGCAACCTCCTCAACTAGTTCATGTGACTGGCTTTGACGGAACTTCTTGGATACTCATAGCGAGGAAATATCGTTTTGGTGTGTTATTAATAGAAGCTTGGAGTTCAGTCATCTCAGTTGAGCGAGATACATGGTAAAGTGTTGTAAGCTACATAGAGCAGATGTACGCAAGGCAAGTATCAGGATCCAAAAGTTGTTATTTAGGCTGGTTGTTGAGGTTTGGCCCTTGAAGTATGCTATAAAAGCTCATATAAAGCTGGTGGGCAGTATGAGTATCTTTGATGCAATCATAAATCTTTTCAAGCTTAAGCAAAATTAACTTTTTATCATTTGCATAAGGTTTGTGAAAAAAAACACATTATAAGGCACTTGATGTAAAGTATTATATTCTTGGGGAGTGTTTTTCACAATCCCAAGCCCTTGCCATAAAGTTGCCTCCCTGCTGGTTTGCCCCATCCTGTGCTGGTGCAGAGGGTTAATCTTCTCAGGGTGTGGGAATTTTGCATTTGCCTTTTTTGAACTTCATGATATTCCTGCCAGCCCATTTCTCCAGCCTGTTGCAGTCCCTCTGAATGGCAGCGCAACCCCCTGGTGTATCAGCCACTCCTCCCAGTTTTGTATCATCTGCAAACTTGCTAAGGTTGTACTCTGTCCCAGCATCTTGGTCCTTAAGGAAGAAGTTAAAACAGTATTGGCTCTAGTATTGAACACTGGGGCACTCCACCGGTGACTGGCTTCTAGCTGGAGCTTGTGCTGCTGATCACAGCTCTTTGAGAGTGGCAGCTCAGCCAGTTTTCAACACACCTCTCTGTCCATTTACTAGCTCATACTCAGTCAGCTTATGAGAATGTAGTCAGAGACAGCATCCAAAGCTAAAATTAAGGCAAACAGTATCTGCTGCTCTCTCCTCACTCACTGAGCAAGTCATCTTATTATAGCAGGCTGCAGGGTTAGCCAAGCATGATTTCCTCTTCATAAATCCATGCTGATGACTCCAGTTCACCTTGTTGTCCTCATATGTTTTGAAATAGCTTCCAGGAGGACTTCCTTCATCACCTTACAGTTAGCCTTGCTGAACTTCATGAGGTTCACACAGACCTACCTTTATTTTGCCAAGATCCCTCTGGATGGCATCCCTTCCCTCTAGACCATCAACCACACCACTCAGCTTAGTGTCATCTGCAAACTTGCTGGGGTTGCACTCAGTGCCAATGTCAATATTGCTGGAAAAGATTTTAAATAATACTGGACCCAGTACAGACGCCCAAGGAACACCACTTGTCACTGATCTCCATGGACATCAAGCGGTTGAGTTCTTTCATTGTGCTGCATGTCTTCACAGTTGGAAGGCTAGCAAGTTGGATTCAATCTCATGCAGGATTTAGACACAAATCTTCATTTTGCTTGATGAGTGCTCTGCCTGATGGCTGATACTCAAAAGGTCAGCTGCTGTGGTCGCGAGCGTTTCTGTTTTGTTCACCTTTTCTGAACTTATGGGCAGTTCTCAGTAGAGCTCTAAGGAAGTAATATTTAGTAATATTCCCTGAGAGGACATTTCTAGACACAGATGCATAGCTAGAATACACAATTTTAGGAGTTTCATAATAGATAAAGACTGACTGGTGTATTTAGGAATCTACAGTCCTGGTAAAGAAGCAGTTGGGATTAATGCCTGGAGTTTAAGAGGAGTCCAGACCTCATTTCTGTGAAAGATGTAGATGGGCTGAAATCTCATTAATTACTTGTTGATTTGTTTTTTAGTCTATAGTTATAAAATTAAACTTCCCCCCCCCCCCCCC